CGAGCCGCCGCACCCCGCGCGTCCAGGCCCGGCGCCGGGCTCCTGCGCGGGGCTGTCACCTCCAGCTGGCAAGCTGGAGGGTGTGGTGCAAGCGCGTTCCTCCCCTGATACTAGAATGGGAATAAAAATGCAGAGTTAGTGCTTGTGGGACTGGCTGGCCAGCCGCCTGCGGGGCAGGAGAACGCCAGTGGGAGATTGTGGGAAGCTTAGCTGTGGCCCGCAACTTTACGCTACACACACCTGCGATACACGGCTTAGGTTTCTTATCTGGAAAAAGTATGAGAGTAATGTGGTGAAGCCTGCCCTAGCGTGGGCCCGATAGCGTTACTGACCCTGGCAAATTCAGCTGAGAAGGAGGATACTACTCACTGTTGGAAACTTTTTTTTTTTTCCAATTAAAAATGTCTTTCCCCCTCCAAGCCCAGTACCTAATTTTAGCGATCCTAGAATAAATCCATTGTAAATTTCGTCAGCTGCTGTACACTTAGTCCTTCAGTTTCTGCTGTACACTTACTCCTTCAGTTTCTGCCAGTGCTCTCCATTTGAAATCTGGAAAAGCTTATGATGTAAAGATTAGAGCATTGGAAAGCTGTAGGTGTATTGTTTGGTAATCATTTCCTAGAATGACAAAATCTCTGTTCCTCTGTACTCAAGTTTTTGTTTTGGATAGCTTTTGTTTTTTGATATGGTGGAAGGTTGTAAAAACATGTAAATGATTGAAAAGTACCTACCAAATCTACTTTAGGTACCAAACCTCAGTAACCTATTTGGTTACTGAGGCAATAGGATAACTAGTTAAAGGACAAAAGAAATTAGTGAATTAGTATTCAGCCAAGGAATATATCAAAGAGAGTTGAGACATCCAATATATAAAATGGGAGTGTTCTTGCTTCTGCATATATTTCCTGCGGTATTGGAGTCATGTGAAAATTGGTCATATATCAGGGGGAGAAATGGTTAACTTCTGTATCTGACACCCAATATTGACATTGGATTACTTTTTGCAGTGGTTTTGTCAGAGTTCTTGAAATCTTGATAAACAGTGATTTTGGCAGTAGCTAGGACATGCCCTTTACTCTCGCCATCAGTTCCTGTGTTAAACAGTAAGAACATCTGTGCATGATTTACTTGCAGAACGTAGAGATTTTTCTTTTATCGGGTGTGGAGGAACTGATTACGTCATTCTCAGATTGTGTTTCTGTCATAGTTCCACAAGTGAAAATTAATTTATTTGTGGTTTGCTTTAAAGTTTATAAATAAAACAAAGTGTTGACTGACTTAAGATTAGCTTCTAGTAGTTATAGACTACTTTTCAGATATATGGGATGCTTTCCAGAATACTTGGTTTAATGTTGTTAAGCATTAAGATTATATACAGATCATTTTCAGTGTCGGTGTACACGTATAAACTATTACGGAAGTTCAGTTGAAACTGCAAAATTGGAATTTATTGTTATTGCTGAGATGTGATATGGAATCATCATATCTGAATAAGCCAGTTGATGACTGAGTTTCTCAGCCTTAGCACTATTGACATTTGGGACCAGATAATTCTTTGTTGTGGGGGCTGTTCAATGCATGGTAGGATGTTTAGAGGCATCCCTGGCCACTATACAGAGATGCCAGTAGCACCCCCCTTCCCATGTTGTGACAACCAAACTTTGCCAAATATACCCCTGGTTGAGAACCACTGTGTTAAACGTATGTACTCTTGTAGGACGCTTGAAATGTTTCTCACAGATAACTACTTAATTTTCTTTTATTCGGTGTACTTATATCGAGTATCTTATATATGCCGGGCATTATGCTTAGAGGCTGGGAAACAAAGGTAAGATATGGGTCCTCCCTCTAGTACTCATAGCCTTGTGGGAGAGGCAGACAATCAAAAGTCATTACAGTGCTATGTGATAGAAGAATGAAGGGAGCCACTTTGGTGGGGGTGGTGTTGGGGCAAACAAGAAAAACTTCAGAGAGGAGGGCATATTTCCAGCTCTGAACAGGGAAGGGCGAATGCAAAGAAAGGCATGGAGTCGTAACAGGGGCAGGTCATATTGGGGGGAGATGAAAAATGAAGTATGATTTTGGTTTACGAAATGAGATAAAAACTGAAAACCAACCCTTTTGCCATTGAGTCAATTCTGACTCATGGTGACATCCATTTGTTACAGAGTATAACTGCTTTATAAGTTTTTTTTGTCTTTCCATGGCTCTGCTGGGTGGGTTCGAACTGACAACCTTGAGGATAGTAGCCGAGCGCAAGCCTTTTGCATCATCCAGGGTCCTGCAGGAAGTGGGATAATGTTGAGGAATTGGTGAGAAATGAGACTGTAGAGATAGCAAGGCACCAGATGATAGACTGTAGAGTCCTTACTGGGGAGTTCAGCTTTTACCTTGTAGATGGGTCACTGTTAATGCTCAACATTTAATAGGAGCATTTGATAACAGCCTTAAAGAAATCTGGTGATTAGTATTACTAGTTTAGAACTAGAATATATATTTTATTAACTCTACAGGTGGTGTTTACCAACAAGTATAACTTGAATCTTTAAATTATGTAACATTATAACCATTTAATTTTACCTCACCCTGATAATCTTATTTCTTAGCAGAGGTATTAACATATAAGATTAAAACTATAGTTACTGATTTAGAGATATGTTTGACATGGTCTACACGCTTTGAAATTATTTTGGATTCCTTTGACATTCTGTTTTTAGATGACATTTTTAACTATTGTATTTTCTTCTGAATACTATCCTATAAATAGCAGTTTTGAAAGGAGGAACAGTGTGCTTATAATCATTTATAACTCAGAGTCTTTGAGCATCACCAGTAAGGTCCCAGAGTACTTTACAGAAAATTTGGGCTTTTTTTTTTCCCATTAGCTTATAAAAGATGTCTCTCTGAGGCTTGAAAGGACTTGAAAAAGATCAAGGTAACTTCAATATGCATGTATTTGTAAAAATGGTGGTGTGGTGGAGGTGTCTGACCTCTTCATCTAACTTCACAAGGGGAAAGAGAGAGAATCATTATAAGCATCAGCAGCTCAAAGCTGATTCCTATGAGATGGAGCTCAGAAGTACCTCTAGCCTCCAACCTTTTTAACCAGTTTTGACACCAGCCATCCCCCCCGCAGCACTCTACTTCTTTGCTTGGTTTGATAATTCATTGCAGTGGCCACACAGAACTCACAGACCATACTCACAGTTGTAGTGTTTATTAAGTAAAAGGTTACAATTCAGGATCAGGGACGACTCAGGGTACAGTTCCTCAATCAGGACAGGCTCTTCTCAGCCATGGCCATAGGCAGGCTTCTCTCAGGCCCTTGGCTGCTCGTCCCCATGGCCTGGCCGCTGCCCTGCTCCAGCAAGTGTTAAAAAGCTCTGTAGCTCAGCCAATGAGTGCCCAGGGGCAAACCACAGTGCCAGGAAGCCTCGGCCCGAGGATACTCAACTCCCTTGTTCTGTGAATCAGTAAGCCTAGCTTCCCCAACAAGTGCCCAGAGGCACCCCACTCCAGGAAGCACCCTGCCTGAAGGTGCTTGGCTCTCTTGCTCCATGCGTTGGCACACCCTCTGTAACCACCTTACTCTGTGGGCTGGGAAGCTCACTGTGCCATCTTGTGCCCCACTTCTTCTGCTGTCTTGTGCTGTCTCTGGTACAGTTTTTTCTGTTTCTGTCTCCTGGGTTTAGGAGGTTCTCAATGCAGGGACCCTGGGTCCAAAGGATGTGCTCTGCTCCCATCTCTTCTTTTTGGTGGTAGTGAGGTCCCCCTTTTCTGCCTCTGGGATGGCTCATTTTAAACCTTGTGGGATGGGAAAACTGACTAACCCTCTTGTTAGGGTTCCATACACCTTATTTTGCGTGGTCCCACCCCCACAAGGGTGCCATGCACCTTATTTGCATTATTAGCAAGCTGTCCAATCCCCTTGGTGGGCCACAAGCACCTTATTTGCATAGCCTCACTCACTCATTTGGTGGGGGTTACAAGACCATGGTGAGAAAGGATGTATAAAAATGTCCATCACACTATTGAATGTTTTGTTTAATAGTTCTTCAGAAAGAAACATGAATTTAAAGTGCTTGGTGGTAAAAAAGATGATTAGCATTTAGTACCTTAGACAGTTTGTAAACCTTATTATCATTTCTTTCTTAAGGAACTTATTGTGATTTAACAGTGGTTTATTAGATTTCTTGTTACTGATATATATGAATAGTATTGCTAAAGAAAATAAAACAGATTAAATTATTTCAGAATTGTGGAAATAAAAGGGCATTTTTTTATGGTCTTAGGTCTTTTGCTATGATTTTTAAAATGCAATAGATAGAAACTGAGAGAGTTAAGTGATTTCTCTAAGGTAACATAGTAGGTGTCAAAATTGAGACTAGAGCTAAATTTCCTCAATTCCCAAACCATTTCCATGTTTTGGCACCATGCTGCCCTTCCTCAACTGATAATTGTCAGCACTATGCTAGTCATTGTGGAAGATATAGGAAAAATGTAAAATCTAACTTCTGTCTCAAGGAGCTTGTATGACTAAGTGCCAAAATAAATGCTGTGGACAGTGACAACCAGAGTATTATAGAGGAGGAAAGATCAGCATGATCCTGTGTGAGTAGGGAGCCTTCTTGGAGAAAATGGGCTTGAGGTGGGGCTTTGAAGAATGGGTTT